TCAGAGCAGAAGAGATACCTTCAAGTTCCCTTTCTTCCTTTCAACTACCGGAAACTGGAGGAATTTTAACCAGAGACAGTTACTATCACGTAGTAGCTCACTAAATGCGTGTAAGGACAATCTGTAGGTAAATTATCGGACGAGATGGGCTTAAATGTTATTTTTCCATTTATATTTTAAAAATTTAAAATTTAAGGGGATGCTTTATCAGTTTTTTCTAGATGTAAAATGTACGATAATGGACATCATATCGAGTAAGTAAAGAAGTAAGTGTGTTATAACACAAACAGTATATAAGTCACCTCAATTCTATATGATTTCTAAGGTTAGGGGAAGTAATGATGAATTAAAATATTTCTCATGATGATGATGTTTATGAAGATAATGATGATAAGAAGGTAGAAATGTAAGCGGTAAAAGATCATGTAAAACGTTTCGTTGAGTAAGGGACACAGATATTAAAAGCGAATCGAGTAAGAGTCACAATGCTTTCATTTCAAGTATCTCCTCCTGCCTGTGGCTAAAACCATAATGTGCACGAGAAACATAATTAAGAATCGCTGCTGAAACGGAGGAGTTGACGATCAAAAGATCGCTCTGTCAAAGACACCGTGAGAAACCGGACTGGTAAAAGTTACTCACTTTCATTCTGCATCTTGATTGAAATAGTCGGCTTTCACCTTTCATTATATGCTAATAAGGAACTTAGGATAGTTCGCCAGTTATGAATCCAGTGGTTTCCTGTAATATTTTTTCCAAATTGGAACGTATTCCTCTAAGCAGGCTTCTTCTTATATGATTGTGTAAGTTGCAATGATATAAATTCAAGAAGGAATACTCGCACACTCTACTCGATCACAGAGAACGCGACTTTTTATCAGCAAGGAAATGCACAGCAATTCATCATGGTAGTGAAGCCAGAAGCCAGTTAATTCCAGGTATAATGAAGACTCGGTCTATGGTAACTCACTTTGATGATCGCTCGCCAGGCTTGCTTACACTCCAACTCAGTGCTGTATCTGATAAACTTTCTCTCTTAAAAAAAATTCCACCAAGGAAATATCACTTTTCAACATACTACCTGTTTTACCGGGTAAGTTGCTTCCAGACAGTGACTACGGTTCTAAATGACCACGTCCTTCATTAATTTCTTGGAATCTTTAAAATCGAGTTTTTTTTTAAGAAGTCCTTTCCTTGGAAACGCAAAGGAAAGAAAATAGTTATTTTGAACCCATTATCATTTCATCATGTGTGCAGGAAGTCTCCGCTTAAGTTTGGTTTCCCCTCTTGCCTTTTACTTTCTGTGAGATCAAAATCCCAGAGTTTCGTTAATATATTCTTATTTTTCCGAGCTGGATGATGATACAGCGAATTTTCCTAGAAATTTGACTTGACTCAGTCAGGAATATAATAACCAGGAGTCGGACATGAATACCACAGTATTCAAGATAACTGAAGATTCTACTCTCATATTGCTATTTCCAAGATTCTTGATATGTTTATTATTAGTTTTTTTATTCTACTGCAGTTAATTTTTGCCCATAGTGAGCGGGTATGGCTGGTTTTCTCTATCCATAGTCTATCAGTATATCTTTTGTTGCTTATGTTTCTTCCCTGTTGAAGGCTGGTATAAACAAGTATAAATGAGCCATGCTTAGAAGTGGATATGTCTCTTATCTAGATCCCTTTTTTGTCGCACCACTCACCAAAAATAAAAGGAAAATTTCAGCTTTATGAAACTAGAAAAAAATTGTACAGGTTGCCCAGTTTCACCCTGGACAAAATCAATCAGGAGAATCCAATGACAAACACAGAATGTTCTAATTATAAGTGTTCTCCATGAAATCATCAGGATTACCTCTCTGGCGGTAGAGGCATGTACAGCAAAGGAAACAGATCCTTTTGATATGCTTGGTTCGATACCATTTACGTGTTACTGTGGTTGAAAGTGTTACTGAGTTACTTGTGAGTTAGTTATCTGGGATCGTGCACTTGATTGTATTCTTCAAGTTTTTTGGCTTGAAGGTGAAACTCGGCTTAATCTACAATATGCCGGAACACTGAAGGCTTCTTTAAACTCGGTGTATCGAATGACGAAACATTCTAACGTATCTTAGCCAGCTTCTGTCGCATCGTAGAAATGACTGATAGGAATAATTCTTTTTTATATCGTCAGTGGAGGACGGAATTTAACGCCCTTCTTCTTCCAAGATGGCGGATCAGAATAAAGTCCCTTCTAAATCTGTTTGAAAAACTTCTCTCTATTTGGGTCTTTTGAATTCCTCATCAACTAGCTCAGTGTTCAGTAAGAATATTCATGGTTAGACGGCCCTTTTTTTTAAAAGTAATTTATACTGAATCGAACAAATGTATTCTGTAGTTTGTACTGTTACTTAAGCAGTTGTGTTTCAGTGATCATGCTTCAATATTAGTCCAGTTAATTGCCCACAACACGTTCGATTTTCAGTTTCATTTATAATGAACTTAAGTGAGAGAAAAGTTATAAATTAATGTTGGTTCTATGAATAGAAAAGCTGCTATAAAACGACAGCACATCGACAAAGAAGCGAGATATAAAGAAATAGTAACATTTGCAGACTTCAACTAATGGCAAGATATTATGTTGTGTTGAAATTCATAATCGCTTCTCAGAATATTCAAAAACCTTTTTCGATGAAGAAAGACTGATATAGTAGAATCATGAAGCGCTGTTAGAACTACCGAATCAGAAGGCTACTTTCACTTTATCGAAATAGAGCTGCCTCGATTGTAGGCTCATTTTTCATACCGAAGTTATGTTGTATTGCAAAGACTGATTTTGGTGAGCTGATCAGACGTTATTCTACTGTAGGTATCAGGATCTTTATCGTGAGAATTTTTTAAAGTCCGTCCATAAGTTTGCTTCTTTGAAATCAGTTCTGTATACAGACCTGAGAGCAACTGTGGTATTGCAGAGTTCTGGTTTTAGTTGCGTTCATTGATAGACTCCGGCATGAACGCTCTTTGCTCAACCCCCATTGAACTACCACGAGTAAATATGACTTGAAACGCAATTTAACACGACATGGCTTTCACGAAGGTACTTAGTATCTTTCACTTTTACATCGTACAATTAATCTTAATTCGTTTATGTTTTGCAGATTTGGAAGAGAAAAAAAATATGCGATTAGAAGACCGCACCACATACCTTAGTGAGTTCACGACATCAAGTGATACAGTCGATTCACGAGTCCAGCCCCCGATGTCATTTCACTCTACTTTATGAAAAGATTAATGAACAAGTCTCGTTTTCTCTAGGTTATTCAATTAGGTTCAAATAAGAGGGTGAAACAATGAAAAGGTTCTTTTCCTCATGCAACATCTGTTCTGGTTGTCCCTCTTGATCGATCAGTCGATCGATCTCGTATATTTAGCATGCAAGTACATAATAAAAACATTTCAGTTTCCTGATAACTAAATTAATGATTGTTTTTCGGCTGAGTCCCGCTTTCTACCAACACAATCCTTGAGATTATTGTACAATTTTGATTTCTAAAAGTCCATCCAAAGTGCTAGAAAAAAAGTCGAGTGTGACGGATTGCTTCACATAGCTCAAAATATCGCACATTCACATCTAATAATTCTGGAAATTGTACACACAAAATGGAGAATGTGCCGAGGCAGACCCACATCCAAGCACGCCTACACCCGGTTTTCGCTGACAAGGGCGTAGCAAGGTCCCCCAAAATAATGTACAAAAATGTTTGTTAATATCAGAAGCGTCTCATTCTAAAATATATCGTTTGACCGCACTCAAACAAACGTGATCTGTTGCTCCGTGTACAAATCCTTCAGATTATCGTAACACTCGCAAACTACTGCGACCTCGATTCCTTCAGCTCGCAGCTTCACCTTGTACCTAAGATTATGCTTATAACTGTTCTCTAAAGCATGCAGTGAATACCTTCAATTTTATCGAAGATTTGATAACATTTTTTTCTCTCTCAGATTAGCCGACAGCCGTTAACCACTCTTCCTTGAAAGCGCCAAACAACGAATATGTGCAGGTTTCCCGGCACGGTCGATCGGTGCTTAAGGACAGGCTTGGAAGGTCTTGCTCTGTAACTCGGAAGTAAGGCTAACTTCCGTCGCAACACTGCTAACCCCGTTTGGTGTATCATATAAGCTATCTTTTCTTATTTACCGAGCATCCAACTAAGATTTATCCTTTCTTTTATTTCATGGAAAAATGGGAAGACAACACCGACTTCGTAGAAACAGGCGCGATACCATTTTGATTCAAAAAAGTCCTGGTGGCTTACACGCAGCTAAATCTACCATCAAGCGTTAAAAAAATCATCTTTATTTCTAAGTTTGTTTTCAGAATTCTTATATATCCCTTACAGCCCAAATTTTTAAGAGTCAGGGACGAAATGCGATGACTCCGCAATTTTACTGACTGAATTATATAATGTGTTAACTTTACTTATTATTACGTTCTTAGAATTCTGTGATACACTGAATCGTTTGTTTATTTGATAATCGAAAACGTTCTTATTCTTCCGTTTCTTCTAAGAATGACCTTGAAGTGCTTGAATCCTTTGATGTTTTTCTTGGTTTTATTCAAATGATTTACTCTTCCGGATTTTCCACGACGATCGTGGTTCTCAGAAATGTGGAGATCCGAGGATTCTCAACTTCTCGGAGGCACGGGATGCTTTATGAATTTTGTGAATATGATTACAATAGCTGATTTTAGGAATCTTTGCATATATTTGAAGCCTCAGAGAGATTGTTTTCATGTTCCTGTTGGAAATAACTTTCGAGAAAGGCCATAACTGCATTTTGAGTGAAGAAGCCTCTAATTTCCGGTTTTTCTTAGTTTACGATGTCACGTAAGTGAATTTCTCGTTGGTGGCGAGAGCATCCGAATGATAACCGAAGCATGACCGACTGTCCGAAATGTAACCTCGGTTGAGTAATTCGTCGAAAACGGGAAGTTTGTCATTTCTCGGAAAGACGATTGGTGTCCATCGATATAAAAGCGAAAGGCCGCGTTAAAATCGATTAGATCTGTTTACCTCTGGTGTAATGAGGAGTTAAGCGCAAGCCGAGCGATAGTGTGAGAATTATAAGTCAGCCCTTCGAATTTCATATTTCGTGGTGGCGTTGACTTTGAGAGGCACATTTCAAGAGAATTTAACCCTGGTTAATTTATTAAGCAGTTATGTCGTTTTGGGATACTTTTCAGAACTTAGAATCACATGTTAAAACCAAGATCCTTACAGAGCTTCAAACCATTTTTGGCGCATCGTTTGAATTCGAGGCGTGCATTTACTTGATGCAGTGGTTGGTTCATCAGTCATGGTGAGTTGAAAGACGTGACGTGAAATTCTGCTGTTTCTACTGTCTGTGCTTTTTTTTTGTATCCAAAAATCCAAAGAGTTACCTTCCCCCCTCCTGCTCACCATATGACGTTTCCAAATCTTCGTCTCACTTGGGATTTTTTCAATAATGATTTTCTGGGAACTCTTTTTCATTTTCTTCGTTTAGAAACAGAGATTTCCCAATTTTTTCACTTCCCCTGCTTTATCTTAAAAAAGGATACAACACTGATTAGCATTGTGGCCAGGAACAGGGAATATCTTACTTCCATAAAAAAAATATAGATAAAATATATGTCTATTTATAAACAAACGAGCAAACGAGCAAACAAGCAAACACAGTATGAAATGATTAAAATAAACAAACAAACTAAAAAATCAAAACAGAAAGGAGGGCTTTTAAAGCCATAACCAACATGATATTCATAAATTTAGGGTTGCAGTAAACCTCAAAAGAAAACAAGGTGTGCATCTCCATGACACCTCACATGCTTATATGGACTTTGAAGGGTTGTATTGCATGTTGTTTGACTGTGTTTTTACAGAAACGACCCTTCTTCATCAACCTGACTAGCTTTGGTTCCTTATTATTTGTTTTACAGAAAATTTAAGCCTGTCTCTTTTTTTGTCTCCAGGGATGAGGCAATTGACCCAAATCTTCAGGGATCAAGTGTGATAAAAGCTAAACAGTTAATGGATGCCACCATATCCCACCTGAATCTACATAAACAAAAGGTAGGCATACAGTACAGCAAGAAATAATCAGCAATGAACCTTGAGTCTTGTTGTTCTGTACATTTGCTTTGACAATAATTTAAGCAACATTTCTGTTGCTTTACAGCTAGAAGGTCTGGCTGCATCTATGAATGACTTCCACAACATGCTTTTAGCAAAGAAAGTAGAGGAAGTGATTCATAAAATAGAGGTAAGTTGATAGTGAGTAACCAATAAAGTGTAATTTTATATCCAGTGATCCCTATCTTTTGTTTATATGCTCATTTTGATTTCTCCTTTTATACTTATATTTTGACAACTTCATAACACATTTGACCTGTTTATGATGTCGCCAACAATCAATGGGTTCAATCATTTCTTTTTAAGTAAGAATAATGTATGCAAAATCTGAGATCTTCATTGAGTGTTTGAGCCCCTAATACACTTAGTGTTATGCACCTGTAGGAGGTTTAGCAGCCAATATTTTGCGGTATTGCCATCAAAAACAGCAGTTAGGTTATATTAATCCTTACACTATTATGGGGCTGCTGCTGTCTCTCATGAACCCTGTGGAACTATACACCATTACATTTTCATTGTTAGGAGAGCTATGGTAATGATCCAGTGAAGCTTGCTCAGTATTTCTATGGGGTTGTTTCTAAACTGAGAGAATTGGTCCAGAATGCAGTCTCTGTAAGTATATATAGTAACTTGGAGTAATGAACAGTGCATGCAAATTCTGCAGCAAGTGTTTTGAAGACTCACTTGCTCATGTACAGTTGCTTGCGACTGTAGTTTAGCAATTTCAGGAAATGCAGTCTATTCTTTGCCAATTGTATTTGTGATAACAAATGCACTGACACACAGTAGGAAAGAAGTGTGCTTGGGTTTGTTTGTTTGTAGTGAACTTGGATTCATCTTTCAGTACCTTGGGAGATTGATCTCTGTTTCAATTGGTTGTGTTACCTATTTTCCATTGATTTTTCTTTTTCATCGTAAGAGAATTAATTTGTTTGGGTAATTTGTATAGGTAATCGCATGGGGCCAAGTAAAATTAAGGATTAATAATTATCACGCGTGTTTTCAAAAATTGCTGAAATTGCCTGAGTCGTGAAGCGATGAGGGCAATTTCAGCAACTTCTGAAAACACAAGTGATATTAATCGTTAATTTTACGAGGACCCATTGCGATTACTTGTTAATGAAATTGATGGGAAAACTACTGAATTTCTGAATGCGCTCTTCAGTAATCAGTCATAGGAAGCCATTTAAAGTTAACAGAGAATCAATGGCCACAAACGTACGAATGAGCTGAATGAAATTTTATTTTGGACAAAGATACCAGAACTTTGGATAGGCTTTTGATTTTAGATATCTCTCCAGTGATGCCTGCATTACTTTCAGGCAGTCGGGCTTATATTCATCCCCATTTTCTTTTTGTAACTCGGCATAAGACTGCGCCAGTGTTCGGTCAAGGACATCACTCTCATACTCTTCTAAATTTGCTTGGAAGTTTCTTTCATTCGCCCACTTTTTAAAAACGTTTTTCCAGTACTCTGTGCTTTTCCTCATGTTTTCGTTTTCACTCTTGTCTTTTCATTCTTCAATATATTCCTTGTCAACTATCTCAAAATGAGACGCCATTGTTACAGAAAATCTCCAGCAACAACTTTTTGATAGCATAAGCTGTTGCTAGGCAACCTGAGTACCACTCATGAGCTAGTAAGTTTGCCCTCTTCTCAAGCAAAAATAAGAAAAAATACCCTCTTCATTGAGCGATCAGCATTCAGTAACTTTTCCCTCTATTTTATTAGATACTCAAGAGGGTTGTTATATCAAATAATTATTTTTGTGCTGAGAAATTTTGTTTACAACCACGTAATTTCTTTTAGTAAAATCTGTAGGTTTAGGTCTTTAGTGAGGTCTTCTCTGTGTTGTTCAAACCTTAAGATTTCATTGGAATCAACAACAACAATAGATATGGAGGACATGGATACTGAAGATAGTGCTCCAGACCCACATGTTGCTCTGCGCAAGCGACTGGATGTTCTTGTCAAGGATAGTCAGGTATACACTCTGTTCAATTTGTAACACTGTCTCAGCTTTAAACTTACCTCACTGTGATTGTCTTTTTTGAGTTCCTCTCATGACTGAATCAACAAAGTATTTTTTTTTTACTTTTTTTGTACAGTATTAAAAGAGAAAGGATTGAATTTGTCCTAATAAGACACTCCTATGAGGTGTTTGTGTGCGAAGTGAAATTGTAAATAAAACTTTGGCCAACTCCTTGACATTGTGACTTTAAAGTCATCATTAGGGCCTTGAGTTTGTAAACTGGTGAAAGAACATGTCGGTTTGGTTAACAAAGCACCTTTCAGGACTTCTATCATCTAGACTATTATTCACCTAGATTATTTTTGTCTAAAACAGCTTACAATTGTGGCCAAAACTGTGAGAGAAATTTTTGTTATGTCTATGATTGTGGATTCTTCACTTTCTGTGGGAGAATTTTTCTAAATTTTTGAGGTGCTGAAGATTCATACATGTATATAGGCTTAGGTGAACTTCAATATGTATGAACATGTATTTCAGAAAAATGATTCCCTCTTGAAAGAAATTGAACAGCTAAAAGAACAGTATGTCATAAAGTTCCAGGAAGTGAGTGGCAAAATAGATAAATGTAAGTACACTGCATCTGTTATACCACATGGTTACATTCTGTTGAATTTTATCGTATAACCACGAAAGGAAACTTTTATGTCATAAAATAAAGATTAGAAATAACCATTTACCCCTAATTGTAGGGAACACACAGAGTAGTTACACTCCAGTTTGAATACAATTTAAACCATGGTCAGTTGACAATTGACCCTGAGTTTCAGGTTGTGGTGGAAAAAACAGTGTTCCTTTTGAAACAATTTTATAATCTTGAAAAATGCATCATAGCAATGATGCATATTAGAAATTTGAAAGTACAAGATATGTACTGCAGAAAAATAACTGGGAATTACTTATTTGTAGTTGTCATATCTGCTGTGTTGCGTTGGAAAGATAGTTAAAGAAAATATCAAAATACAAACTGCTTAAAGTTAATGTACTAATGAAACTCTGATCTGTGTCTCCATCTCACTATTATTTTGAGTACAAGAGTCCAGTGCAGAATCTAGAACATTTGTATAGGTAATCACATGATTTGGAGTGTAATTTGGAAGAAATAAGCACGAGTAAATTTTTTCAAAGACTAACAATTATAATCTGATTAGTGATACTTATACCTTTGACAATGCCTTTTTTTGTACCATTTAATAGAAATGTTCACTGTAAAGTTGATGTATATGTAGTTATAATTTGTTTGTTTTGAAAATCGTTTTGCAGATCAGCAGGAAGCCCAAAAGATAACAAATTCTTCACAGCTCAGTGAAAATGAAAAGGTGGTTTATGATAGTCTGTAATGACTATTTCATGTTAATGTATTGAATCCTGAATCTTCAAAATCCTCACTAGTCTTTGTTACCCTTTAAGATGAAACAAACATGCACTTTATTCTTATCAAGATGTGCACTGAGTTATAACAGTTAAGTGCATCAAGCAAAAACATAAAAAAATACTTTTTACATGGAACACTTTTCACTTTAAAAGTTTTGGGGTAAACATCAGAAGTTAGTCTTAGTAATTGGGTTTTGATTTTGAAACAGTGTTCCAAATAAAGTTAAATTGAAAGTGGCTGCATCTGTCCTTACTGGTGAAAACTATTTTACTCAGGATAATCTACACTAAAGAAAGAATAAGAAGGTATATTCTATAAGTATCTGAGCATGAATTTAATGGTATTTAGGTGGCTGAACACAGTTTTCGCACTCGCTTTTGCTGATGCAATTCAGCATGCGCGCAAGGATTGCAAAAAACAAACATGCCGTCAATAGAGCGGTCGTTTTATTTACTCAACACGTATCCGCACTATCTGTGCTATTTTTCTCTATAGTTGGCACAGTGTATTGAGGGCTTTAATCTTTTATTACAAAGACAGAAAAGTTAACGGTGCAAAGAACTCTCAGCTTTTTCGTCGTTGCCAAGAGAACCCAGTTAAATGCAGCACATGCGTAGTAAGTAAAAAAATTGTGATTGAATGGAAAATTGCTTTCTCGGAAATATGCCTTTTTCTTGAGAACCACTCATTAGAATTTCACGAAATTTGGCACGAAAATACTTTAGGAAATAAGTAACTGAGGAATCAAAACAAATTGATTTTTAACAAAGGAAATTCTAGATAATCAAGGGAACCTTCAACAAGGGATAATTAAAGATCTCTCTGTTAAATTGTTAGCAAAATGGTGTGAACTTGTGAGTATCATTACAAGCTCGTTGCATGCAAATTATAAAGAAAAACTAATGACTAGATTTTCGACAAACAAAACCAATTTTAAAGGCCTGTTTATATTTATTCATGTCGCCATGACAATGGCACATACGTCAGCTTAACTATCAAAAAAACAAAGTTTGTGTTGTTAACTTGCTTGCTGCCAGTTTTGGTGACCTAGAGATCAAGGGTTTTAGAGAAAATGGTGAAAGAAACACAGGTATCAAAAACTGTGTTCAGCCACCTTAAGTGAATCACATTTTTGCCCTCAGTAAGTCTTTAATAAGCCCCCCTCTTCCCCTATTTTTCATGTAAAAATGTGTTTTTTATTTAGGTTTTGGAGGCTCACTGTGAACTGAATTCTTAGTGTTTGGTTTTTCAAAATAGTTTGGAATTGGATCTAGTGGTTTTGGGAAATAGCCTGTGTTCAAACTTACATGCACTGTTTGATGAAGATTATTGCCTGGTTTTACATGTATTGTATCAATTATCTACCATCGATAATTGTCTATTTTAAATTGTTTTAATTTCTAGAAACAAAGGATAGACCATATCAAGCAAGAGATAGAAAAAATACAACAGGATTTAAGCAAGATGGGCGAAGAGCTGTCAATTACCAAAAGACTGGTATTTCCAGTTAATATTGACTTACAGTAAAATAAGTTGTCAGTCAATGATGGGTACAATGTATATGTATCAGGGCTCGACATCAACTTTTCAACTCACTTAAGCCAAGTAGCTAGTTACAACTTAGATGTTACTAACCAAACTGACTGGTGGAAATTGAAAACCACCAGCCAAAAGTGAATTTCTACTAGTCTGTGGCTAGTTTAGTTTTTTAGTGTCAAGCCCTGGTGCACATCTTTGAACTGGACATTACAGGGTTTACCATCAGTTTCATCCTACAAGATTTTATTTTGGAAGCTAACCCACTATGTAACAAAAAGAGGTGATCCAGTAATTTACATGTGTCACAGCCAGGCTTTTTCCCATTAGCATTGTATTAAATGAATGTAAAGTTCTTTATATCATTCCAATTGTCATTTCCCAATTCAAGGCCCATAATCAGTTTAGGATGTGTTGCTCTATAGACTTGTGTTTCACAAATTTTACAAGACTAATTTTTATAACAGTGGAGGACAATATAATTACAAATATATAAAATATCAAAATTCATGCCAAAGAAAAAAAAAAACAAAAAAACAAATGAAATAAAACAGAAATCCTCCATAAAAATGTTTTAAAGCTTCATTTCCCAGGGCAATGAGCTACCAACTGTACCATTAAAATCATATTTGAAATGCTCTGTTATTTTATAAATGGATGTGGTCAAGCATCAATGTACAACATTGTTTAATAATCGTGTTATTACCTTACATACATTTTGTAGATTTAGTATGACTGTAGCATAAGTGTGATGAATATGTCAGGACATCTACTGATTTTTTTTCATCTTTAACTTCCTTTTGGTTCCCAGGGCTTCATTGAATACCTCTGTACTCATTTGAAGAAGTTATCTGAAATAGTAAAGAGTACTTTTGAAGAGATTGCTGAATGGCGACATCTACAACAGAGATCCCTGTGTGGTTTTAAGGCTCCACAGTCACTTGACAAACTACAAGAAATGTATGATGGTGTTATTTATGTAGTGTAGTACTAAATGGTAATTATTGTAAGTACGAGTACGTGTTTTCCAAATTTCCACTCTTATTCCCGTACATGTATGCAGCTGTTGGCATTACCACATTACAAAAATTTGCCCTCTATCTATAATCTTTTATATCTATAGCCATTATTTGGTACACTCTTTATTTACAATGACTAGTTCATTGGCCTCATACACTTGCATACATACTGACTTTCACTACACAACAATTATACAGTCAATCAGTTTAATAAGTCACTCTGATCTTAGGTAATCAAGTACTCATTGTCTTTTCATAAGTCATTCTTGTACCTACATAATAATGCATTTTTTTGTTTCATATTTTGCTTTAACTCAAAATTTCCTGTCAAAATATATTTTTAAGTTAGATGAATGTGTTACATCCTTAAAAGCAAAACTGAAATTGAGGAAATATGTTTTATTTGTGATTCTTATGTACTGTTTTGAATGACATTGAATTAGTTATATATGATTATATTAAGTATCTTAAATTGAAATGCTCTCTCTTTTTTCCTTTGATAGTTGTGAAACACTTGCTGAACTTCTGTGGAAGTTGTTTCAACAAGCTTCCCAGGTTAGCACAGAGGACTGCGCTTTTTTATGTTCTTCTTCGGGTGACATACATATCACTGGAAAGTATTTCAAGGCAATTTATTGGAGATGTGGGGTAAACCAGGCAGCAGATTGATTTGAATTTACTTTCTGGGTTGCTCTATTGCATTGCAAAGAAGAGTAGACTAATAATAGTGACAGTGGACACTGCTATGATATGTGCTTTGTCTAAGGGTTTTTCAGCAGAATCTACGGAAATGTATTTTTATTAATTAAAAGTAACGTGCACAAAGCTGCGAATTTTAATATGTATGTTATACGTGACTGTACATGAGCAGTTAATTTTTTTTTTAGCTGGACAATCTTTTCCATCAAGCATTTCAGGGGAATGAATTAGAACTGAAGCGAATGGATAATGTAAAAACATCAGCAAGAAACCTCATGAAACTGTTCTTGACTAAGTAAGTCCTAAACAGAAGCATGTGTCTGATTGTTTTTTTTGCATTTAGCATGCTGCCCTTCTTAATTTTGGTAAAATATGTGCATTCAGTTGAGAGGCATGTGCCGTGTTCCATTACCTATCTCCACAATTACCTGAATGTGTTATTTTACTTTGTAGGACATTTATCATAGAGAAACAACCTCCTCAAGTCTTAAAGATTCAAACCAAGTTTGGAGTTGTGGTGCGGTAAGCATCTACTAGCTCATGAAGTTTTCATGTTTGAGTGTCAAATGAGTTTTTGAAGATGTGCACTTAATTGATACTGAGTAAGTATCAGATAATACTAATTTCCAATTGATATGTGTAGGCATCTTCTTGGTGGAAAACTGAATATCCAAACGCATCCACCAGAGGTTACCTGTACGCTCATTTCGTAAGTACCAACACGGTTTTATCAAATTAAACGGTTCAAAATTTTGATTATAGATGTTAGCTGACTTCTTTTTATATTATGTTTTGAAGTGAAAAGCAAGCACAAGGTCTTAATGTTGGGAATCGCAAGAGGTAAAAACTACTGTTGAACTTTTATTACAATTTGTTCTTTATGATTTATGATACACATGAATCTACCCTTTTCCTTTACATTTTCCCGTATAAGAGACATTGGCAGGTATAAGGTTGGAAGATAGGGTAAACCTGTCTCAGTACTAAGCCAATACCCATTTCAAAGTACACCGCTGATGTTGACAGTTTAGGATTTATAAGCAGCAATGATTTTCATTTTGGATGTTGTCAGCATTTGTGGGTGGTCAGTGTTACTCGGTTGTCCGAGTAAAGTAACGTGAAGTGGTTTGAGCGATTATTGCCTTGAATTGGAATTTCTCAATTATTGGCAACTCAAATAATAACTTTGTGCTTATTTTAGTGCCAACATACCAATAACAGTGTTTCTGGTAAAGTTATAGATAAAATATATTTTTGCGATAGTGATGCTGTTTCTTTTCGTTATGCAGCAGTGTATCATCAAACAACAGTCCTGTGTTGAACAACAAGAAGGTCGGTAGAGTGTTTGCTGCTCTTTATTGACCTCCTGATGGATGTATTTTTGGTGAAGTCCAAATGAATTCTAATGTCTTTCTTGTTTTTAGACACTGGAATTCAACCAAGTCACAGGGAAGCTGATTGGTGAATTCAAAAACTTGGTAAGCTTCTCAAGGAATGTTCAGTTGTTTGTCTCGCGAGTTACAGTAACTGTCATTTGTAGAATCAAACAATCAATTGAGGATCACATCGTTTGGAGTATTCTGTGCTGAGTTGCAGTATAACAGTCGAATGTCTCAGTCTTCCAAGGAAAGCATGTCTACAGGGGATAGTGACTCTGAATCGCGAGGAAAACGATTTTTCGTCGTGTGTCAATTTTGTAAAAGCATCAAAACTCAAAATAGTTGGCCTGTTTGGTGCTGAGATCAGAGGGAAAACGTTTTTAGCGGGAACCATTTGGAACTTTGTTTGTATGATCTGGGGCGGGTTGTTCAAAGCTGGGTCAAGGTACCTGAAAGCTTAAATAGAAAATTCAATTTAAATTCTTTTGTCTATAATTTAATGATTGGATTTTCCAAAAAGAATAGAGAACATGTTCTCAAAAAGCCTTTTGAACATTTAGATAAAGAAACCTTGATTAAAATTTAACGCTGGGTTAGCATTAATCGGCCTTCGAACAACTGCGCCCAGGTGGTTTTTGTGAAACATTCCGAGATATTGTTGGAAACTTAATATTACGGGAGGAGGAGCCTATTCCTCTGCTCATTTTGTGGTACGCGAAAAATTATTATCGAGACTTAACAAGGTTTTTCTTCCGTATATATGGAGTAGTTGTTATGTAAATGGTTTGAAGTTGATTATATTATTAGGTTGTTTATTCATCTACGGTCAGCAAACAGTGTTGTTATGGTGTCTTTTAGTCTCTGGCCAAAGCCACAAGACAGGGCGGTAAGAACAAGGAAGTAGTCACAGAAGAGAAGTCGGCATTACTCTTCTCCACACAAATCAACCTCGGAAAGGAAATATTCAATATATCGGTAGGTGGAGCCGGGAAGAGCAGGGGATGAACCAGTGTTGAGGTTTTCAGCGCTATTTATACAGCCTAGTTGTACTTTTGAAACTTCCCTGCACCAACAGAGACAACAGACTACAGTGCAAAAGAAGAGAGACGCCGACCCTCACAGTCCTTACAAAGACCTTCTCGACTAGCTACTACTCGTTAGTTAGTCTTATTTTACGAACCTCTATCTCGCAACCGTTTTTCTTCTTTTAATTCTGTTGTCATTTGTTGACCGGTCACAATACAAAACATAACCCATCGCACTTTGCCCCGTTGGTTAGTACAGTGTACTTAGTCCTTGCATTGTTTGTGGTCCAAAGGCGATTTCAGTTCCTGTGGTTGTGACAGTTCATGGCAATCAACAGTGTGATGCTGAAGCAACTGTTTTCTGGGACAACGCATTCGCTGACAAGGTCAGATTATATATTTAGTTCAGAAGAGATCAACAAAAATGAAAACATGATAAATTTTTCAGTGATCGTAAATCTAACCAAAGGCCAGTGCGCGTCATAGTCCGTTGCGTAGCTTGGTATGGGCTGCAGTACGGAAATAAACCTTATTAAAATGGGTAATACTGTTACCCATTGGATATTTCGTAGATCGCTGACCATCGTTACTTATGTTCCCCCACAAAATTTGGTGTCGTTATATTGATTCTGCTGAGAAATTCTTGGCGAAGAATCTAATTAGCAAATGATTTCATTAGGTTTTATTTAAAACCTGTCCATAATAAAACTGGTTTAACTATGATTTATTAATTTTTGCATAGGAAAGGAAACTTTTCGATGTCCCCGATCAAGTTGAATGGCCCCGCTTTGCAGAAGCTCTGAACAAAAGATGGGCTCTTAACAATCAACTCCCACTTAGCCCTGACAGCATCGCGTTCTTAGGGAAGAAGATTTTTCCAGGTGAAACCTTTTTGCTAGACCTTTTTAGATTCAGTTCGTTTTTTCCTACTTCCTTTAGTCCGGAGAATTTCCTTTGTCAATTTGTAGAAAACGGGCAGCAAATCTAACCTTTACAGAGGTCGTAAAAAACATCAATTTCGTTTGTATTTGTAACGTTATCATCCTTAAAATTCTGTTTTTATTTTAAAGGCAAAATGGAGGGAGGTATGGACAATGCCATGGTTACAAGACAGCTCTTCAATAGGGTACATATTTGTGAAATATTTTACAGTTATTAAATTCTTATTCAACAGCAAGTTCTATTGTCTACGTGATTATAGAACAGTTTTTTTTTACAATTTTATCCGCAGTTTGTTTTGGCTTTTTGAATTATTGAGCTAGTTAGTAAGAATAGATAGATAAATAGATATTCTGTTACTTCGAGTCAATTTGTAACTCAGTGCTTATGTACATTAGGATCATATGAACGGTCGCTCCTTCTCCTTTTGGAAATGGTTTTACGGAGCCTTAGATGTGGTGTCAAGACGGCTGCTGGACGAATGGAGGGACGAGTATGTGAATCAAATTTCCTTCTATCCTGTTTTGCACTTGAAGATAGGCGGATGAATTATGTTTAAGTACAACCATAACCATAATTTTTCTCGAATTATTCATTTCTACTTATCTGTAAAAGAAAACGAGCCTCGAACATTTGAATGTGGTAGAACTGTGCAGGCGAGCGGGATCATTGACTGGGATGTCTGTTAAACACGGTGGTCAGGGGACCACTGGAACCAGCTAAATATTTCCTCTTTTGGTTGTATAGCTTATGAGGAAAAACAAAAATGTATGGACTTGTATATAAACGTAAACAGACAAAACAAAGGAAGACTGTAGCCATGAACATTACTGGTTTTTATTATAGACGCGTGGCTGGTTTCATCAGCAAGAATATTGCGCATGACATGTTAAGAGGCTGTAATTCTGGCACGTTCCTGCTGAGGTTCAGTGAGACAGAGATTGGTGGAATTAGCGTCGCCTATGTTAATACATATGACGGTGGTAAGAAAGCCAGTTACTCTATACGAGGTGAACATGCTCTTAAGCCGGGAAAAAGGTGCGCACTGCAGTATTAGACATTTCTTGAGGCTTGCTTGGGAAAGCTATTTATTTTTGGATATGCCCAACCTGCTTTTATCTTCACTCTCCGACTGATTTATTTGAAACTTCACGAGTTATGAAGCGATATTAGGGGAGACAAGTTTTCAATTTTAGAGGGAAGAACTTTTACATAAACTTTTGCTCGTCGTACGTGAAGAATAATTCAACGAAAAAATATATATGTATTTCGGCTCACCTCAGAACAGACAGGTTGGGGAGTTTTTTCTTAACTATGAAGGTATTTTCCACAAGTCTGAATCTCGTAGAGGTTGGTACTGGTGACTTAAAAAAGGCATTTTGAAGCAAATGATTCCTTAGGTATTTGTACCATCCCCAAACCCTGTACACGGCAAAACTAAGGAAAGTGTGGAACTTTCATCACTCGGATAGCAAAGATACGATGAAAAGAAAAAAGGGAAAATCAAAACAACTTATGCGTGTGTCTCACCGTTGTGTGGTTTAGGTCCGTGTGAAGTTTTCGATGTGGCTCCATGGACGAACACACATCTGCAAATGAGAAAATTTTCTGACCGACTAAAAGACTTGGGAGAACTTGTTCAGCTTTTCCCTAACATAGCCAAAGATGACGCTTTTGGTCCGTACTATACCAATGATGGTAAGTAAGACTATAACTACACTGTATCATTAACAGAAAAGGACATGAAAATACCTATGGAGTAGTTGTGTCGTAAATTGCAGTGAGGTTTCTTTTAGTAACTACCCTTGCCGCCGTTCAACCATATGATATTCATATATTTGTTTTAACAAGTATTGGTAGTTTCCTTGCTATTTTGGGTCAATGCCATTATCAAAAGACTGAACATCCTTTGACAAAATCTGGCTCTGAGTAGTTCTCACACCGCGACGCAAAACGTTCAGCCGACAGACTAAAGTTTCTGGTCTACCTAGAGATACCTCAAACATTTCAATAAATATATCTTATTAACCAAGCGCGAGGGCCGCACTGGGAGAATATCGGCCCGAGGTCTTGACAATACGGACCGAGCGCAGCGAGGTCCGTACAAAAAAGACCGAGGGCCGGTATTCTTCCAGTACTGTCCCGAGCAAGCTTGGTTAATAAGAGATTTATTATACGACTGAA